GCTATCTACAGCATAGGTTACAGCAAGATGACATAACATCCTACACAGTGTCTTATCTATGCCTACTAAGCGTATGTTCCATGGAACTTTTCACATATTTCTACTTGTCCACACTTCTTTCCACGAAAGTGGAATATATGGCACAGTGCTCTCCCCAGGGGTCCTGCCTGGGCTACAGCAGTTTTATGTTCAGTCTGAGGTTAAGTAAAAGCCCTCACCCTCTGTGAAGACTGCCCAGGAGATACACCAAATAAGCACATTTCACAGCTAGCTTGTCCTTGCCCTTCCTTGATCTACTGTGTCCTCCTTATGAGTTGCACTATACAATTTTGAGCCGCCTATTGAGTTACAGCTGGCTTGCATCCTGAACTTCCACTGCTGGAGTCCCATTGCCTAGATTCTGCTGGCAGACCCTGGGCAGGGAATTGGACCTGGTATATATTCAGTGTTTCATCCAAAATTTTGAAACAATGATTGGAAGTGTCCTTGGACTTCCCATCTACGTTGACCTTCAGCCCCACCTGCTGATTTTCTGTTAGCAGAATTGTAGGCCCAATACATTAATGGATCTTTAGACACTGATTCATTTTACGGTTTTATATGCCTACAGGGGTTTGATTCCCTTTATTTTCTGGTATGAACATTGCAGTTATTGATTCTGCTTAGCAGCTACAGCACTTTTGCTTTCCCATAGTTTCCCCCAGGCATATCTGCCTTTTCATGGGGGTACTGGTAAAGTGAAAGAGTATGTTAGAAAATACAACTTGCAACCTAAATAACCTAACCACTGACTGCTGATAAACTATTCAATGTTTTATGGGGCTGATTGATATGGGCCAGACTGATTTCTTAATTGTTTTCAAACTTCTGTAATAGTAAAACAAACTTACTTGTACACCTTGAAGACTAATATTCAAGACATAACAAACATGGTGCTTTATGAAAAATAAAGTTTTCATTATTCAAAGTTAATTCACTGATTTTTAAAAAATCAGCGTCATCTAATGAAACGATAAACTTACCTGATCAAATCTGTTGGCCAAAATACAACAGAAGATTTTTTTTTCAGTTTTTTGCAAAGTTTTTGAGCTCTGAGGGACTCAGAGTTTTTAAAAAAAACAGAGCAACAATATTTTGCTTTTAAAGAGAATTTTTTTTTTATCCTAAAAGGCAGCCTAGAGACTCCATTGGAGACATCAAAACTCAGCTTCTAGTCATAGCCAAATCTGTGCTCTTCAAGGGAAGCCCCTTATTGAGTAAGGAGGGTGAGGTTTTTAAGAGTGCATGAAACAGAACACTATCCAGACTAAGCTCAGAAAAGACGACAAAAACTGATTTAGAGCGAGGAGCTGGAAATAACAGAAGAAAAGTCTCTCACTTTGTTATTGAATTTCCTGTTTCACAGTAACATTAGCTATGATGTGTTTTGTCATGGCACAACATGTTTGAACAGAAAAATATTATATTTCATAGTCCTAAAATACTGAAAGCAGAGTTTTACTGTAGTTCAAGAACCATGTCATTTAAAAATGTTGTTTCATTCAAAACTTTCTTTGTTAGTCTGCCTCAGGACTCTTTTTAAGTGTTTACTTCTCTTTACTCTCACTTTATATACATCTCCCCCATTCTCATACTTCATGAACTTTTATATCACATAATTCCTTAGAAACTAAGCTAAGTGCTTTTTAGCATTTTGCTTTACTTTACCTGCAGATAGAGTTCTACAATATATTGCATTTAAAATCTCTAATTTCCAGAACTGACAGAAAGAGAGCAAGACAAATATTTTTGTGGCATGTAGAACTAGCCAACATTCTTCATACAAAATGTTTTGGATGAAAAATAGATTTTGGAAAATGAAAATGGGGAAATACAGATTTTATTTTTAAGACTTTTCCCCCTCTCCTTCCCCTTTCCAGTGACAAAATGGAAAAAGAAAGAGAGGAAGGAAGCTTTAATGTTTGGGGAGTTAGTTTTCAACAAATCAGAACTTTTTGAATTTTTTTCTTTTTACAAAAAATGGGAGAAAATGAAAATATTTCACAAAACACTAATTTTTGACCAACTCTAGTGGTGTACTTTTATTATAGATTTTGAATGGGAGACAATTACAAGTCTAGATGCCATTTGTTGTAAAAATGTGCACTAACGAAGATCTGTAAAAATTTACTACTAAGGTATGTTATACATATATGTATTATGCTCAACATTCTTATTAAAAAAATGTAGTAGCTGGCAGTGAGTGCAACAGATGTTAACACAATACCAAGATAATGGCATTGGAAAGGATATCTATACAGAGCAATGCAACAAGATGAAAATATCAGTACTCTCCTTAGACTCAAATGACCACATTAGAAGAGACTCTCAAATCATGCCCCAATCAACATTATTACATAGACACTCTTACTGGAATAGAAATAGGGGTCTCATAGACTCATAGACTCATAGACTTTAAGGTCAGAAGGGACCATTATGATCATCTGGTCTGACCCCCTGCATGCTTCAGGCCACAAAACCCTTCCCTGGACTCTGCCGTTGAAGTCCCCAATCCTGTGTTTCAGTGACTTCAATCGGCAGAGACCCTCCTGCTAGTGATCCCTGCCCCATGCTGCGGAGGAAGGCGAAAAATC